GATTTACTACAAATAAAACAACGACTGATCACCTCTTCAGCCATTTCCCAGAAGAACTTCCACAGGCGGCGGGACTCCTCGAGGCGCGCTCGCCGCTCAGCCGCCAGCTGGTTCAGCTCCTGGTAGCAGAACTCGAGGTGAGCGACTCTGTCCTTGATGATCTGAGGGTCGCACGGCTTATAATCTGAGGAAGACGACAGGAGGTGAGATGGAGGCGTTACTGGAGAACAAACAGCTGGAGCTAAGCGGGTAAAGTCTGCGTGTCGCACCCTCGGTGTCGCCGGCAAACTTCTGAGCGTTGCTGTTGACGTTTCGGACTCGGTCGGCCTGGATGCTGATGTCCGCCTCCACCAGGGCGTGCTTCTGCAGCAGGTCCTCCACGCCCAGCAGGTGCTTCCCGTAATCCTGAGACAGCAGCAGCATCTGGAGGTGGCGAGCAGAGGGGCGGAGGTTAAACAGCAGCAGAGCACAAACACGAGTCCTCAGAGGAAAACTGAAGAAATAAGAACGACCAATCAGGAAGACAAAGCCGCTGATAAAAGATGGCGTCCCTCCGTACCTTCATCTCGTCCATCCAGTCCATGATGTAGAGCATCTCCTGGAAGACTCTCTGCAGGCCCAGGTTCATCTCCAGCCGCTGCCTGCGCGCCTTCAGCAGCTCCAGCAGATACTCCCACAGCCGGATCACGTTGTCCTTCCTAGCTGTGATGCGTTTGATGTCATGGTAACTCTCCGCCTCCAGCTCCTTCGCCACGGCAACCACCGCCTACACCGGTGATAAGGAGGAGAATGACTTTCTAAGCTTTCACTCCGTCACCTGTGACCTCCGCCTAAACCGATCGATACGGGGCGTCAGACGAGACGAGCAGGTGACGGACTCACCTGAACTCGCTCCTCGTACGCAGCGATGTCCGTTTCTATGGCTTCGTGTTTCTTAGTAGCAGCTTCCACGGCCTGAAGGTCGAATCCAAAGTTATCCTGAGGGACGACAGAGGAAAGGAAACGAGGA